ATAGTCACTCCATGTCACTTACTGATTACATCTCTGATAGTCACTCCATGTCACTTACTGATTACATCTCATAGTCCACTCCATGTTACTTGCTGATTACATCTCTGATAGTCCACTTCCTGTTACATACTGATTATGTCTCTGACAGTCCATTTCCTGTTACATACTGATTACGTCTCTGTTAGTCCACTTCCTGTTACTTACTGATTACATTTTGATAGTCCACTTCCTATTACTTACTGATTACGTCTCTGATAGTCCACTTCCTATTACTTACAGATTACGTCTCTGATAGTCCACTTCCTATTACTTCCTGTTACTTACTGATTACATTTTGATAGTCCACTTCCTATTACTTCCTGATTACGTCTCGGATAGTCCACTTCCTATTATTTACTGATTACGTTTTGATAGTCCACTTCCTATTATTTACTGACTAAGTTTTGATAGTCCACTTTCTGTTATTTACTGATTACATCTCTGAGAGTCCACTTCCTGATTATATTTCATGACTTGTGCTCCATTACTACTGACTATAATTTTGTTTTAAGTTCATTATTTTTATTGATTTCTGCATAACATTTTCAGGTACCTTACTGATTGAGGTCTTTATGAATGTATGTTTCACTTTCAGATATTGACTGAAAGTAATAAGTAATAAACACAGTGCAACTGGGTGTTGAAACAAGCGTATAACTATGTGCACATTAAGCTTCTTAATGTGCCAGTTTATATACAACTTATATGAGAAATCATGACCTGAAACAAGTGACACTTGGCTCTTCCTGAAGAGTCAGGAAAACATGTGAGAAATGACAATAGAGGTAGTGTATAACTATGTGCACATTAAGCTTCTGTGCCAGTTTATATACAACTTATATGAGAAATCATGACCTGAAACAAGTGACACTTGGCTCTTCCTGAAGAGTCAGGAAAACATGTGAGAAGTGGTTACATGTGAGAAATGACAGTAGAGGTAGTGTATAACTATGTGCACATTAAGCTTCTGTGCCAGTTTATATACAACTTGTATGAGAAATCATGACCTGAAACAAGTGACACTTGGCTCTTCCTGAAGAGTCAGGAAAACATGTGAGAAATGACAGTAGAGGTAGTCTACTCGTATATCACTACAAAGTAGTCTACTCATATATCACTACATGCTCAACTTGTAATCCAGTAGAGGTAGTCTACTCGTATATCACTACATGCTTAACTTGTAATCCAGTAGAGGTAGTCTACTCGTATATCACTACATGCTTAACTTGTAATCC